AAATAGATTTTTTGTTTTCAAATGAATATTTCTTTTAAATCCATAATGCAGACTTCCTACTTCAAATTCTTTCCATCCAACCCCTTTTCATACACAGCCCAAGTGTGGGACTAGTTCTTAATGTGGCATGGATGATGAATCAATTAGATGAGTGAGGGGATATTTACTTCTCTGAACAAACTTACGAGGCTTATTGATATTCTGACATGCCATCCCTCCATGAAATTTCCTGCTGGTTTTCCTTGCATTAAATTTGCTCTTTTGTTCAGAAGATTTTAAATGTTTAGTTTATTCTCTTTTTTAATATAAACTGAAACTCTTGTTTGAAACATATCTTAAACCCATTTGTATTGCTTGATGTATACAAACCGTTTCAAATGATGAAACTTACAATAATGTAGGTTCATCTTGATTGAACAGTCAATAGAATGATGAAAAGTCATTCTGTGAAATCATAAATTAATAATACACTTTTCATATAAATGACAATCCTAATGTTGCAATTGCTTGATTGGAGTCCAAATATTAGCGGTGCTTGAGGAGTTTATCTTTAGGATAAAAAACAAATTCAAAGCCATGTATACTCATTCCTGTATGTATATGTCTATCTTCAGCTGACAACGTAGATACAAGGTTTTATATTTTTATGTCATGTACTTTTGGAGATACAGATTTGTTGTTTAGAGGATGATAAAAAATCAGATGGATTCCCAATGAATTGAATCTTGATTACCACAACCAGCTACTTCTGACTCCGCATGAATTTCACTCCAAAGTTTCTTTTGAACTCGATGTTTTAAATTTATATAGGAATGGTCTAGTAATGCAGGCCGTTAATGTTGTAAAATATTTGTTTCTCTTGATTGGAAATTCCATGTGATAATTTTCCACCAAGAACTTTGAGGCCTCGTTATATTTCTCTGAAATTTTGTTGTTTTTTATAATAGAACTTGATAATCCAAATCCTTTCCATCCAACCCCCTCTTAAATAAAGCCCAGGTGTATAAGTAGTATAACTAGTTCGTAATGTGACATGGATGATGAATCAATTAGATCAGTGAGGGGTAATATTTCTCTGAATAAACTTACAAGGTTTATTGATATTTTGACATTCGATCTTCTAAGAACTTATTCTTGCTGTTTTTCATAACATTAAACTTGCTCTCTTGTTTAGAAGATTTCAAATGTTTAGTTTATTCTCTATTTTTTTAATATAAACCGGTCGTCATCATCCTTCAGCTAGGTATTGCCCAACTCATTTCCATTGCCATGAGGATTACATTTGTCTCTGTCGTTTTGTATTTACATTTTGCTTTTAGGTCATTTCCTTGTTGGATGTTAAGCTGCAATGCCATGCCTACTCTCGTTCACCATATTTTGTATAGCGTGCTTATGGACGGTCAAGTGTTGCTCCGATGAAACAACAGCAGCACTTAACAAAATGAACATAAGCAATATTCAATTATAGCCCCCTATTCTTTCAAGTCTTTCTGGTAACTGTTATGAAGATGACTATCGTGTTGTGGCTTACATTCATTCAATGAAATTTCTATGTTATGTAGAAGATTTACATAATAAATAAATTAAAAATCATTTTATACATTTATTCAAATTTGGCTTCATTTGTTATTATTCTTTTTATAAAATCGTTTTCCTGATTGTTTCACATGAGAAAAAGTATTATTTGTGAAACTAGTCATATTTTTGAAGTACATATATTTGAATTAGCATACATACTCAACAGTTGCATTCATATATCCACTCACTTTGTTGTTCCAACCGCCCCGAAATTTCTGGTTTGTATCAATGAAGTTCTCATCGTTCGGAAAGGTCCGATTAATTGTTGCATGGAGGCGGTGATGTTTAAAGTAATTAACACATACCATCAAACTATGAAAGCTAACTGGAATTAGCTTGCTGATGCAAATTGTTTTAGACTGAGCCTCGTTCCATTTCTTTGAGTCGTTGTCATATAGTTTTGAATTATTTACTTCCTTGATTTGATATATAGGCAGCAAATTAGAGTCTCTGATTAGTTGTTTCAAGCAACAAATCACCCGTATTTTCTTGGTTGTGGCCTATGGGATAATTGAGCAATGAAAATAACAATTTCAGGATTTTTTTTAATTTATTTCATATTTATAAGGAAAAAGTATGGCAAATGTACTTGTAGTTGAGCCCGTTTTCATATAGGGTCATGTGTTTTGTTCATTCTCTATCACATTAGTTCATGTTTGAATTCCGTTATCACAAAAGGGTCATGTTGTTAAAAATGTCTGAAAAAGATTGTTATCAACGTCTGCAAAAGATTGTTATCAACGTCTGAAAAAGACTGTTAACATTAACTCTGATTTTAAACAATGTTTATACCTTTCGTCCGATTTGTCATTCTCCATCTTGTTCTTTATCCAATTATCCTTAGAACTTCAGCGTTGTTGTATTTTGAGAAAATGTGTAAGAATAGGTTAGGGGTTTCAGTGTAAATGTGTAATTACCGAGCACTTGATGGATGATGTGGACTTCATTTCAACATATCAGTATTCTGTATGCCATGTCAGCTCTATTATTGTCTTAATATGGCTCATTGCTCATATACTCATTTAACACCAAAATATCAAGATTGTGTACTTGTTGGTATCAAATTCAATGAGGTACTCTTTATTCCACATGCTATAATTTGCATTGGTGTACTTCTGCTCGTTTTGAGACTAGAAGTAGATATTGGACTGTTTGAGTTAAAGTGTAAAAGTAATTTTGATTGCTCCAAATTGCTTATAGAAGCAGTTTACTAGAAGTTGAAGTTGATTATTTTCTGAAAAATTGATTCTAATTCTAATTCTTTTTTTAATAAATAATAATAAAAGAATCAAAAGTAGAATCCATTTTAAAACCCCTCATAAGCAAAATCGTAAGAGTAGAGCACATTTTAGAGAGAGTCATCACTCTAAAACCTTAAAATACAAAGAAATGATAGTTATAGCTGTATGATGAAAAGAGGTAGGTAACAACAAATCAATTTGTTAGAATACAAAGAAAGTGATTCACATTACTCTTTCCGTGGATTCTGTGAACAATTTAAGTGAACACTTCAATATTTTGTGTAGGGAATGAGTTATGTGCGACAACTTTATTCATTTCATAAACTAAATTTACGACAGTTTTACTATTCCTTGAACTCACCTCTAACATTTTCCTCCCCATATCATACAATATTCATCATATGTGACATGTTACATATCCATATTGTTTCGGGGCCTATGGGTGGTATGCTACTTTGGGCCTATATCCACAGATAGTAAATCATATTTGTGCAATGAAGTTCCTAAAATAAAGATGAGAATCTTTATTATTATATAAGTTACATATTTGGGCAAAAGTAATTATACGAGTATCGAATAAAAAGAAAAAACATCTTAAAACGTTTCTCGTACACTAATGTGAAGCAAATCATTAATAATTGTTGCATAGACAATCTTCTTTCCACTAATAAATATGACGAACAATGACATTATCATATATAACCACAGTAAACTTTCTTTTGAAAGGATAAATGAAAAAAATATTACCATTTATTGAATTCATAAGTTCAGAATGATTTATTGACCGCTAATGAGAGTCTAAACTTTGAAGTCTCGAAAGAGTGAAGGGTTTTAAAGAGACAAAATATTTGGCTACCAAGAGGACTCGTACAAGAAGATTTCAAGTTTAATGTCCTCTAAAACTACTATTACGAACTTACATATATCCTCTAAAATATTTATATAAATTTGTTAGGTTATAATTAAATTGAATCAAAAACCTTAAAAGTTAAAAAGATGTGAGGATTGGAGAGATGTGTCTTTTATTTATGCAGCAATAATTGTATTGCTTTTAAAAACTACAAGTGATCCTGCTAAAAATTAATGTATATATTTTGTTTTAAATTTGTCTCTGTTTAAGACTCTTTATTTTTGTTTTAAATTTTTAAATTGTCAACAAAAGTAATCATTAGGCCTAATTAGTTGAACTTAAGAATAAAAAAAGAAGCCTGCTAACACTATATTTAAAGAAAAAAATTTAGGTCTATTTTATCTTCTATATTTTTCGGGCCTAGGGCGTCACCCCTCTTTAGGGATGGATGTGGGTCCGGGCCGGGTCTGGGTCGGGCCTAGGCCCGTGCGGGCCGGCGGATCAAGGATGGTGGACCCGGGACCGGCCTGGGTAGCCACCGGGTCCGGTCCGGGTCCGGGCCAGGCCTCCGGTTTGGATTTTTTTTTTTTTTTTTTTGCTTTCCTAACCCCCCACCCACCCCCACCTTCCCAAACCCCCCAAACCCATACTACCCATCAAGCCCAACCTGGGTGGAACCCCAAAAATGAAAAAAAAAAATTCAATTTGGCACGGGCCGGGCCCGACCCGGCCGGGCCGGTTCACCAAAATTGAGACCCGAGCCCGGACCCGGACCCGAGAACCGGGCCGGTCCCGGTCCCGCACAGTAGGGGGCCGGGCCGGTCCACGGGCCGGGTGGCCCGACCCGAGTCCAAGCCTACCCCTCTTGCCCCCGGAACCGGCCCTGCTTAAACTGATAAACTCTGAGCTCATTTGCTTAACACTTCAAATATGCGTGGTTGAATCTCCTAAAAATGGTGTAGTTATGACTAAAATGATTCAGTTTACTTCATTTTTGCTGAAATGGTAGTGTAATGAAACTGCTTTTAGCAACTTGCTCGGTTTTAGTTAAAAAAATAAAAACTCACCTTGAATAAAAATGCTAGTGTTTTGTAAAATAGGGTTTTAACTTGTTTTTGTCAAACTTTCAAAAAGGTCATATGTACCACATAAATGTTTATTATTAGGTTTCAGATAAAGTTCAAGTCTATTGAGTTCAAATATATTATATTGCCTCCGTCCCGAAAAGGTTCACCAAATAGACTTTTCTTGGTCAATAATAATCAACTTTGATTAATGATATTTCTTTAATACGAAATTATTTTGAATATGAAAATTATACCAAAATGTTCCTCATTAAAAATATTTTCATAAAAATATAAAATTTATAAATTATATAAAAATATAATAATTAAAATCATTGTCCAAAGTTTGACATCATTGATCAAGAAAAGTCAATTTGACGAACCTTTTCGGGATGAAGGTAGTACCATCGACAATGAGGAAAATAATTACTAGAGATGTATGTATATAGGAGATATAGAAGAGGAAAGATATATATTTAATTATTGTCGTAATATATATTTCTTGTTCATCTCCATTTGTTCCTCTCCGTTCTCTTTCTCAACGTCTTCATCTCCACGTCTTCATACAAATCATAAATCATACCCCATGGTTTATTTTTCCCTACTGCACTATCTTCTCTTCTTCTCACTATCTCCGAGAAATTCCAGTCAATAGAGAGCAGCAAAATTTGGTTTATGGCAACCAGTCTTTGAATAATGTTGAACTTTCTACATCAACCGTAAACAGTGCATTGATGGGAGTGACGGTTATCTACGATCAAAATCGACAATGAAGAGAAATATGCATGTTAATCATCCTGTCTCTTAAAACAACTTATTATATATACTTCTTCCGTTCTCTTTTAATTGCAACATTTCAATTTTCACGTTTGTCAACACATAATTTTGACCATTAATATAACTAATTCTCTATTTATAAAAAAATCAAAAACCACTTTTTGAAAATTTAAAAATGAGCGGAATCTAATTATATTTTTTTTAAAAATTAAATTCTTAGTGCATTAGTAAATAAAATGTACTCAAAGTAAACCATGTGAATAGTGTTAAATTTTCAATGTTTCAATTATTTAGGAACCCAGGTAGTGATATCGTATTAACTAACTAAACAAATAATACTTACATATCCTTCTTGAAGAAAACTATAATCTCCACATTCATTGTCCATTTGTTTTGCCCTAACCTGTAATTAGGTAAAAATGTAAAAATTAAAAACAGTATGACAAATTTCATGAGCATGAAAGTAAGTAGGTAGCTAGGTTCATAGGGAAGGGTTCTTACTTCTCTAGCGAATAAAAAATGGTCTTGGCCGGTACAATCAACACTTGGTTGTGTAGTTTGTGATGGAGTAAAGTCCATAGTCATAGTTGATAGCATTTTCGCTCCATGTCCTTCATTAGTAGTTTGCTTCCATCCCGTCTTGATTATACTTTTCCCTTGCCTAGTCATCTTATAACCCTGGAATAAATCGACAGAAACATTATTACACGAAGTACGTAATACTCGGTATTAAGTAGTTTAGCATGGCAGCTCGGAATTTTACCTTGTGATTTTGAACATCTGTTGGCACGGTAATATTAAGAAAACAATTTTGGGGGTATGTATTGTTCTCGATATCAGCCAATATTGATACTATGATGGGTAAACAAGCCTTAGCAGCTAATGTGAAGTCATTCAAATTACTCTTTCCGCGAACCCTGTGAACAATAAAAGTGAAACACTTCAATATTTTGTGTAGGGAATGAGTTATGTATGACAACTTTATTCATTTCGTAAAGTAAATTTACGACAATTTTACTATTCCTTGAACTCATCCCCAACCTTTTCCTCCCCATATCATACAAAATTCATCATATATGACATGTTACATATCCATATTGTTTGTGGTAAAAAAATGAAATATTAGGGATGAGGTATATTAGGGATGAGGTATCAATTACTTTTAAGATTTTCCAATAATATTACGAAGTACATAGTTACGTTTTGTGGTCATTACATATATTGCAGTTTAAAGCATACGTAGTAATAAAGATCACTGCAAGAGTTACTAATATAGTCATTTTGTATAAGATGTCATATTTTTGTTCAACATCTTAAAATTAATCATACACATGTCCACAAGCAGAGCTAGGGGAGCCATGGTAGGTAAGCCCTTATCCACCTCAAATTTTAAAAAATATTTAAATAATATTAGTGTAAAAAACATAATTAGGTTAAAAAAATTCAAAACAAATAGGTAGTACTATATTTCAAGTCAATGATGCTAAACTTTGACCGTTATATATTTATGCACAGTAATATATATTTACAAGAATATTACTAAAATAAAACATATTTACATAAATATGACTATGAGAAATTTCCCGGGATATGACCAAAACATATTGAGTTTCCCTGTATATGACTAGTTATGTTTTTAGACATTTGTATGACTGAAAACTAAGAATATAAAGAAAAATTCGTTCATAATAAAATATTAAATGACCAAAATACCCATATTCAAAAAATGTGCATTTTACACTATTTTCGTCCAATTAAAAATAATGCACTTTATACTGCAATTAATGCACAATATTACTGCACGACATTATTGCACATCCAGTAACATATCACTGCACTTCCGCCATTATTAGTTATCTTCTCATCCAATTTATAAATTTATTTGTAGATTTTATTTTTTATTTTATTTTTTGGATTTAATAATTTTTACATTTTACATCTAATTAAATATATTTAATTTCATGCCGGTGTTACTGCTCTACATTACTGCATTACTGGTCATAACCGATCACTGCACTTTCTGTCAACGTTATAACACGTTCTGTGGCCTTCGATTCAATGCACAACATACTCCGTCAATGCATTTATTCACTGCCCATTTTCATTGCCCGTGTTTAATGCTCACAAACCCTAATTTTAACGAACATTAATATTATATTGGACGATTCTGCTACTGCCACTGTTACACCTATAGCGGCGCTTCAAGGAGAGAAAATATAGGCCATACTGTTGGAGTGCTAGGCTAAGCCCCCACTAGTTGAAAAAAAGCTTATGAAATTGTTGGGTTATTCAGAGGAAGAAAAAAACTAGAGCATGTGGATCCAATTCGTTCTTCATTAAACTGTATGTCCCTTACCTTCAACATATCTCCCTACAACTTTGCTCGGCTTTAAAAGCTCAAAATAGCAAATAGGGGATCTGATTTTGAAATCCGAAGGCTCTAGGTAAGTGCAGGGACGGATGGACGTAACTGGGCGCGACTGGGCAGGTCCGCGCATAGCTCGGGACGGTGGCATCGACGGGGCGCTGGCAGCAGTCTGGGCTGCGGCTGCAGCGAGTAGGCATGGGGCTGGGTTGGCCAAGCAAGCTAACGATTGGATGAACTGGTGGCCGAGCAAGCAAGCAACTGGATGATCGTACTCCTGGACAGCAGCGGGCAGCGGGCCGTGAGACGACGGCGGTGGATGGTGGGCCGTGTGACGGTGGCAGGGGCGTGCAGCAGGAGGCGGGTGGATCTCTAGAGGCCGGGAGAGTGGAGGCTAGGGTTGGAGAAAATAATAGGAGCTTAGGGTTTTAAAGAGATAACTTAAAGGGTATATTTGTCCACCAACTTTATTTATTTATTTATTTATTACGAATTTTAATTAAATATTATAAATTTTAATATTATTTTGGTAAAAAAAACTGGTTAGGTCATAGATTGGGAAACTCATTGAGTTTTAGTCATATCTAGGATAATTATCTCTATGACTATTCATTACTACTCTAGTCATTAGTCATATTTTTGTAAATCATCTTTATTTTGGTCATATTTATGTAATTAACTATTGATAATATGAAAGTGATGTGAAAATATTTTTTGTTAAAACTATTACGGAGTATCATTTAAAGTACTACCTCCGTTCCTATTAAAACTTCCAAATAGATTTGACACAAAGTTTAAGATAATGGGTATTGTGTGGTGGAGAGTTGTGCAGAGGAGAGAGAAATGTGTAAGAAATGTTGTGAACCACAAATTTTTTACTAAAAAGGGAAAGTGGAAGTTTTAATTGGAACGGATGAAAAAGGAAAGTTGGAAGTTTATTTAGGAACGGAGGGAGTATAAATTATTATGTTTGACATAAATATATTAGTTAAAATAATTGATCAAAGTTTATCATTTTTGACTGAAAAGTCAAATATTTATTAAATAAAAAGGGACGGAGGTAGTACAAAGTAATGTAAGGAACTTAAAAATAAAGCTTAAATGAAAGATGTTACTAACATGTGATAACCGCAATTGCTGCCCATGTTAATACCACTTATCACCTGTAATAACAAATGCGCATCATCATTCATCAACTTGGAATTGTATAATCTCTTAAAACACACAATTACACAAATGTAAATATACTACGTTGTGAGTTGGTATTGGTCCACCTCACTGGCCCATGGTCCATCCCATTAAATGAGCTGTCTGCTAATCTTATCCTACTGGCTCGTTTGGGCTGTCCGCCTGACTTAGCCCACTTGCCCTCATTTTGTCTTTGCCCAAGCCCATGTCTCTGTGGCCCTTACCTTATATTGTCCGTTCCTTCTGGAATCCAGTATTTGATCGTCCCCTCCCTCTCTCTATCCGATGAGAGGTCTTTCCGGTTACCCCAGTTCTAGAGTGAGAGAGTGCTGGTATCATCTAGGGTTTGAGCTCCGGCTACCCTCCGGTGATACCTTTGGGGTCCTTCTGTGGGCTTCACTCTGTACTGGTAGTCTTGTGGGGGGTTTTCTTCTCCGGTGGGTTTTCTCTGGGCAGTCTGGTTTGGGAGGGTTGGGCACTATACTGAGTGTTTGAGACCAGATGCCCTCTGGTCTTCCCTTGTTGACTCCTTGGAGGTGAATGGTGAGCTAGCCCTTGGGCTATGGTGATTGAGGTCTGAGCCGGTCCAGTAACTCTACAGTGGTATCAGAGCTGGAAGCTGCCTCCTCTCACCGACGCCGGAGACTCGCCGGAAGAACTTCCCCAAAACTGGTAACGCCTAGGCTCCTCCTCGGATTGGTAAGTCGGGAAGTCTAATCTAGACTCCCGCTCAGGTATATTAGCTTAAACCCTATCTTGGGCTGCCGGAGTGCCACCGGATTCTGTGTTGCATGGGTAGTTCTGAAACCCTAGGTTGAGGAGCTGCCGGTTAGAAACCCCAGTTCTTTTATCCGTTGCATGTGTAGATTCTGTCTGAGACAGGTCTGCAGAAACCCTAGGTTGTTGAACTAGTGCATGGGTGGTGCTAATCTGTGTCGAACTTAGCCCACAGTTGTCTGTAATATTATCTGAGCACCTTTTGTGTTTTCTACTTGTTTGCCAGTCCTCTGTTGCTGTTATTGTTATCTGCTTCCAGTATTGTTTTTGTGTTGATAATTTTTGATCCATTGTAATACTGTGGCTGTGAAACCCTAGTTGGCTAAGGCACCTGAGGTTAGGGCTAGGGGATTCCCTGTCAGCCACCTCTGTGGCCCCGGATCTGCGTGGTCCCTTAGTCCGCAGTCTAACCTTCTAGGGCTAGGCTCCTGCATTACAGTTGGCTCATTAATTGTGTGTGCTTGACTGTTATCATGGCTTCAAACCAGTATGGTATGATGCCTTTTAATGGTAAGACTGACTTTGATATTTGGAAACAAAAACTAAAATGTGTGTTAATACAACAGAAAGTTCATAGAGCTATTACTGGGCAATACTTAGAAACTGAGGAAAAACCTAAACAAGTTGAAATGAATGAAATAGCCTGCTCAACCATATATTTAAACTTGTCTGACTCTGTCCTTAGAAAGGTTGGAGTCATTGAGTCTGCTAAAGACCTCTGGGATAAACTTGAGTCTCTATATACTGATACTTCCCTTCCTGGCAAACTGTTTTTGTTGGAAAAGTTTTTTAGGTTTAGGCTTGACCTAACAAAAGATATTGATGAAAACCTAGATATTTTTAACAAGCTAATCCAAAACATTAAGCAGGCTGGGGATAAACATATAGATGACTACACTGCCATAGTCTTATTAAATGCTATACCTGATTCCTATAATGATGTTAAGTCTGCCATAAAATATGGGAGGGATGACATAACCCTTGATATTGTTATTAATGGCCTGAGAAGTAAAGAACTTGACTTAAAACATTCTAGGAACCATCATAGGGAATCTGGGGAAGCTTTGGTTGTTAGGGGAAGATCTAAAAGTAGGTCTAAAAACCCTAAAAAGGACAATCAGGATAAGAATGGTAGACAACCTAGCAAGAAGAGGCATAAGTCTAGGAAAAGGGTGTGCTATAACTGTGGGAACCCAGATCATTTCATAAAGGACTGTCCCCAACCCAAAAGAAATGAACAGGCCAACTCTGTGACTGATAAGGAAATTAGTGAAGAAGTGTTCATGATCTGTGATCATGCTAATTCTGCCCTAAGCAACTTAACTGAATTTGAATGGTTAATAGATTCAGGTTGTACCTACCACATGACTCGTTTTAAAAATCTGTTTGCTTCTTATAGTGCTTGTGATTCTGGTTATGTGTCCCTAGCTGACAATAAGAAGTGTAAGGTCCATGGTGTGGGTGACATAAGTCTTAAGTTTGAAAATGGAACTGTTTTCAAATTAAAAAATGTTAGACATGTCCCTGACCTTAGGCACAACCTGCTTTCTGTTTCTGTTTTTGAAGAATGTGGTCTTGAGGGTAAATGGGGAAATGGGTGTATGAAGATTTTTGAAAAACTCCCTTGTGTTGTTTAAAGCCTTGAAACAAAATAACCTTTATGTTGTTCATGCCAAACCTTTTTCTGAAAATGCTAATGCTGTACTCAGTGACAAGTCTGTGCTTTGGCACCAAAGACTAGGTCACATGAGTAATAAAGGATTGAATATTTTGAAACAAACTGGATGTTTTGGCAATGACTTGGTGTCACTCATACCTTTCTGTGAGGGTTGTGTCCTAGGTAAACAACATAGGGTTCAGTTTCCAGTTTCTAGCTATTCTAGTGAGCCTAAGTCTAAAGTTGTCCTTGACTACATACATGCAGATGTATGGGGTCCTTCCAGTGTCCCTACCCATGGGGGTAGGAGGTATTTTCTGTCCATAATTGATGACGTTTCTAGGAAAGTCTGGGTCTGCTTGTTAGAACATAAATCTGATGTGTATGTTAGGTTTAAAGAATGGAAAATTATGGTAGAAAATCAAACTGGATGTAAGGTTAAAACCCTTAGAACTGACAATGGCTTAGAATTCTGCAATAAGGATATGGATAGGTTGTGTGTTGAGAGTGGGATTAGGAGACACAAAACTGTGCCCTATACTCCCCAACAGAATGGCTTAGCTGAGAGAATGAATAGAATCATCCTAGACAAAGTTAGGAGCATGCTTGCCACTTCTGGCCTCCCCAAGAAGTTTTGGGGAGAAGCTGTCAATACTGCCACCTACCTGATAAACAGATCCCCTTCTGTACCTTTAGAAGGTAAGTGTCCTGAGTCTGTTTTCTCTAAGAAACCCCTGGACTTGTCAAACTTAAAAGTGTTTGGGTGTGCTGCCTATGTACATCAACAGTCTGATAAGTTGGACCCTAGGTCTAAGAAATGCATTTTCTTAGGATATCCTGAAGGTGTTAAAGGATATAGGATCTGGGATAGGAACCAGAGTGGTTTTAAGGTCATTATAAGCAGAAATGTTGTGTTCAATGAAAATGACTTTCCCTGCTTAGTTCAAAATGTGACTGACCCTCAAACTGTGCATGATGGCACCTCTCCTAGTGAGGTGGAGCCCATCCAGACCACTGCTGCCCCTTTGGTGAATGAGTCTAGTACTCCTGATTTGACCAACACTATGCATGACACCCACTCCACCTCTAGTGAGGTGGAGCAGCCCAGTAGTAATGATGAAAATTTGCATGATGTGATTGTTCAATCTGATTTTGCTGATAATGAAGAACTTGGAGAAATCCAAGTTGAGAATGAGAGTCTAGATGATTATGTGTTAGCCAGAGATAGGACTAGAAGAAACATTAAGAGGATTTCTGATAGTATGACTGACTATGCTTTTCACCTGTATGATACTTCATTATTTGCTTTCTCTGTCTTTGAAACTCTTGAGTTGAATGAGCCTAAAACCTACCAGGAAGCCCTTGCCTCTAGAGAATCTAAAAATTGGCTATGTGCTATGCAAAGTGAGATAGAATCTCTTAAGTTGAATAAAACCTGGACCCTAGTTCCTAGGACTCCTAATTGTTCTTTTGTTGAGTGCAAATGGCTTTTCAAAGTTAAAGAAGAACCAAATGACATTAGGTTTAAAGCTAGGTTAGTGGCAAAAGGTTTCACTCAAAAGGAAGGGGTAGACTATGCTGAAATTTTTGCTCCAGTAGTAAAATTCACAACAATTAGGATGATGCTTGCCCTAGTTGCCCATAATGACTGGGAGATGAAGCAGATGGATGTTACCACTGCTTTCCTTCATGGGGAACTAGATAAACAGATTTTCATGAGCCAACCTGAGGGTTTTATTGACCCTAAGTACCCCAGACATGTCTGTCTACTTAGGAAGGCCCTCTATGGCCTGAAACAGTCTCCCAGACAATGGAATATCAAGTTTGACCAGTGTATGTCTTCCCTGAGTTTCAAAAGGTCTGATTCTGACCCTTGTTTGTATTTTAAGAATACTGCTGCTGTACCTGTTTTCTTGTTAATCTATGTTGATGACATGCTTATCATTAGCCCCTCTGTGAATGCTATTAAGATAGTTCAAAAGTGCCTTTGTGAAAACTTTGCTATGAAAGATCTTGGAGATGCTAAGAGAATCCTAGGGATTAATATTCTTAGGGATAGGAGTAGGTGTACCCTTACCCTGAACCAAACCTCCTATCTTGAAAAGGTCTTGAAAAAGTTCAAAATTGACTCTGCCCAACCTGTGAATGTTCCCTTAGCACCCCATTTTGTGCTAAGCAAGGATCAGTCCCCAAGGACTGCTCCTGAGATAGATAGGATGAAGGCTGTACCCTATTCCAGTGCTATAGGGTCAGTCATGTATCTCATGGTAAGCACAAGGCCTGATATAGCCTATGCTGTTAGTTGCTTAAGTAGATATATGGCAAACCCTGGTATGTCTCACTGGACTGCCCTTAAATGGCTCCTTAGATACCTTAGGGGTACACCTTCTCATGGTCTTGTTTTTTCTAAAACTGAAACTGGCATTTTACTTACTGGCTATGTTGACTCCAATTATGCAAATGATAGGGACAATAGAAAGTCTACTACTTCCTACATTTTTACTCTTTGTGGTTCCTGCATAAGTTGGAAATCTCAACTTCAACCTATTGTTGCATTGTCCACTACTTAATCTGAATACGTGGCAGCCACTGAGGCCTTTAAAGAGGCTATTTGGCTTAAACGAATGCTAACTGAAATTGGTTTTCTTAAGCAGGTTGTGACAGTGTACTCTGATAGTCAGTCTGCTATCCAATTATGCAAGAATCCTGTATTCCATGACAGGACCAAGCATATTGATGTCAGGTTCCATTTTATTAGGAACATTGTGGATGCAGGTTGGATAAAGCTGTCCAAGATACCTTCAGAATTTAACCCTGCAGATATGGGGACTAAATGTCTCAATTTTGAAAAACTTTTGTCTTGTAAACGAACTCTTAATTTAGACTGTGGCTAGATAAGAACAGGTACAAAACCGGCGATGATGATACTCCCATTCACGTTGTGCTCTACACCACCAGGGGGACCAATAAGGTGGAGATTGTGAGTTGGTATTGGTCCACCTCACTGGCCCATGGTCCATCCCATTAAATGAGCTGTCTGCTAATCTTATCCTACTGGCCCGTTTGGGCTGTCCGCCTGACTTAGCCCACTTGCCCTCATTTTGTCTTTGCCCAAGCCCATGTCTCTGTGGCCCTTACCTTATATTGTCCGTTCCTTCTGGAATCCACTATTTGATCGTCCCCTCCCTCTCTCTATCCGATGAGAGGTCTTTCCGGTTACCCCAGTTCTAGAGTGAGAGAGTGCTGGTATCATCTAGGGTTTGAGCTCCGGCTACCCTCCGGTGATACCTTTGGGGTCCTTCTGTGGGCTTCACTCTGTACTGGTAGTCTTGTGGGGGGTTTTCTTCTCCGGTGGGTTTTCTCTGGGCAGTCTGGTTTGGGAGGGTTGGGCACTATACTGAGTGTTTGAGACTAGATGCCCTCTGGTCTTCCCTTGTTGACTCCTTGGAGGTGAATGGTGAGTTAGCCCTTGGGCTATGGTGATTGAGGTATGAGTCGGTCCAGTAACTCTACATACGTATTACGTATAAGAAGATGAAAGTGGGATGTGATAATTTTTCATTGTGAAGGGAGAATGGAATGAATGAAGGTAAATACTACTATACAGTACTCCGTAATATACTAGGTATGATAGGTTACCAAATGGGGAACTGAGGAGAAGAGAGCTTTGGAGATACCAAGGGAAGCACAGTCTGCTGGAGTTCCTGCATGCATGCAATCTGCAGGGCCGGCCCTGGGCCTGTCTGCCCAGCCCAATCGCACAGCGCCCGGTATTTTGGAGGGCCCAAAAAAAAATAGTATTACCCAGCCCAAAAAATTTGTTTTTAGCCCAAATCAATTCCCCAGCCTCAAAATCCTCAAATCCCGTCTTCGGTCTTCCCCTGCTCTCTTCCGACTTCCGTCTGGTCCTGTCTTCGCGTCTTCACGACAAAGGCCAAAGGGAGTCAGTCAGTCAAGCCGTCAAGGGACATCGCCGGTCCACCACGCCGCCGCGCCACTCGGCCCAGTTCGCCAGACCGCCGTCCACACCGGCAAAGGGACACCGCTCGGCAGTCGGCTGCTCTCCAGTCTCCACGAGGAGTCGAGGACCACGACTCGACTTCAACTGCGTGCAGTCCGAAATGGCTCTGCCGCCCTCCGGCCTCCCTCAGACGCCGTCCTTCCGGTCAGTTACTAATTTGCTAATTCTTTTATAATTTTTATTCATTTAGTTGCTAATTTGCTAATTCTTGTGAAATTTCAATTTATTGAATATTTGAATTGATGAATTGTTTGTTGAAATCTTGTAATTTGTTTATTTTCAGATTTAATGTTTGTTGAATTGTTGTGTTGTTGTTGTTTGTTGATTTTTTGCATTTAAAGTAAATCATGCTTTCACCCTAATTTTAAAATTAATATTAATTTAAAATTTATAAACATGTACAGGATTATAGGAGAATTTCAATAATTGGTAATAATTATGTTTCCATATAAATACCAATCCGGTCATGAAGGAGCTAACCCAATCTAAAAAAGGAGCTCTTGATAAGTTTATTATTAAAGAAGTTAGAGATGTTCAAAAGGGTGAACAACAAGAAGGAATGTTGAAAATAATGTTGAAATACCTGATCAATGTGTTAACGAAATGGCTGAGAATTCTGATAAAGAGGACCACAGAATTGATGTTTTAGATGATAGGCCAAATAATTCTGCTTTATTTGACACATATGATCCAAGAAACTGGGATGCTCTAGATTCAAAGTTGACACACACTTTGGTAGAGAATGGTCCTAAAAGAGATTTAAATTTTGTGGAAGGGCCTAAAGATAAATTCTCTAGAAGATTCTCATCAGCTTTTTACACTAGAAGTTTGCCTAATGGAGAGAAATGTGATAGAGACTGGCTTGTTTATTCAAAGGAGCTTGATAGGGTATTTTGCTTCTGTTGTAAGATTTTTAGAAAAGGTGTAGGCAAAGGTTCTTTAGCTAACACGGGTTTTGATGATTGGGGACATCTTAGTGCTAGACTGAGAGAACGTGAAACAGGTGTGGAGCATATGGGTAACATGAGGAGTTGGGTAGAGTTGAGGCTTCGATTACAAAAAAATGAGACAATTGATAAAGTAGCTCATGATCAACTTTTGAAAGAAAAAGAGTTTTGGAGGCAATTGTTGTTTAGGGTGATTGCAACTGTGAAATATCTTGCTAAGCATAATTTGGCCTTTCGCGGAACGAATGAGCGGCTCCATCATAATCATAATGAGATTTTTTTAGGATTAATTGAGATGCTGGGTGAATTTGATCCTGTTATTCAAGAGCTTATTCGTCGCGTCGACAATAAGGATACTCATCATCATTATCTTAGTCATAAGATTCAAAATGAATTGATAGAGATGCTTGCTTCAGGAGTAAAATCTAAGATCATTAAAACAATCAAAGAATCTAAATATTTTTTTGCAGGACTTTCGATTACGTTCATGCAACCCAACTCGTCATCTCTAGCAACGGAGGAAGTTCCATTTGTCAACTAAAGTGCCAACATCGTTGTGGACGAAGTTCCAATTCATTGTCTTAATCAACATAATCTTGAAGGGAAAAAGGTAAGATGTCGGCTATCATTCTCCAGTGGTTCAGTCAATGAGACAGATTCGACCGGGAGCTAAGTGAAAGAAAGATGGAAGCATCTCGTCAGACGAGTTGATGAATACATCGCGACAACTCATTGACGTGTCAATAGGTGCAATGAACCAAGACGTGAAGTGTAAGCTCTTTCAAATTTTCGACATGTTGTTGCTAAATAGGTCGACATATACATCATTCACCTCAACTTCTCGAAAAGGGAGCAATTGTTGGAGCAAGAATTGACAGCTTATTTTACATTTAAGAGACTTGACAATGTCAATTAATGACACATTTATTAGTCTTAATGCTACTAGCTTTTATAACGGTTTTTGTATGTATTATTGTGGCTGTTAATGTAATTAAGGCATAAGTTACTCAAATGGGTTGACCAATATTAATGACGACTTAATGACAACTTTGAATGTAGCCATAACGGTCTAAACTGTCAATAACTGGCAAAAGAAGATTAATCACTTCTTTTATAAGTAGAATCGAGCTCAATTGTAAGAGGGCTATTGATTCGAATTACACACCAATTTACATTCTATTTTGCTCACTTGACATCTTCCTCATTATTCTTGTCATCTTTCTTAGTGTTCTTCCACGACACCCGGCCATTCAATATACAAATTCCATTTTAATTAGTTTTAGCTTATCAAAAAATTGCTTAAACACTCATCCATTATGTTGGACATGTTATTATCAATCGAGTTTTCTACTAACTACTCTATATAAGTCTTTGTCATTATGGGTCCTAGACCACATGATAATTGAAGGATTTTAGATTGATTGAAGTGACAGTGACATTACAAACTACCAAATATTTTCTTTGGAGATCGCCTACATCAATCTAATATGTTATGCATGAAAGAAGGTGTGGGTAAGGAAATTGCATGACTAGCTGATAAAGTCGTGACTTAGGGAATGTTTGTGATTACTTTTATTTAAAAAAAAAAGTGATTTAAAGTAATTTTTAAAAAGTGTTTAATAGTAAAAGTTGGTAATGTTTGAAAAAAATTGAAAAAGTAAAAGTTAATACGGAGTAGTATTTGGTAAACAAAGTATTTTTTATGTAATACGAATCAAAGTAGAAAAAGTGAATGCAGTTCAAAATACCTTTTATTTGCTTCCAATTTTTAGCTTTTAGATAGATGATTAATTTAAATAGGAGTTATCACTTGACAACACATATTTCAACTTTTTAAAGCCAAAAACTTAAAAACATTTTTGTAGTATTTTGCATACACTTCCATTCATCACAAAATCAGATGTGGCGGTGATGACTCGTTGATTAAGATATGAGATTCAACCTCAAACTAGCCTTGCAAAATTAATCAAGGAGACATCAAATTTATAAATCGAACAAGCCAAGTAGTTTTATACATAATCTATCATTCCATTCTCATTTGTATGCATTCCCCATTCTTTAAATCTCCTAACTAATAAGCACAATTATTCTGTTAATACGATATTAGTACGTAATTAAGGTAAGGGTATACATGAGTCCACGACTTTAACTAATGATATGTTGTACGTACTGGTCCAACCAGCTACGTACTATCAATATAATACATTGGTGTTTCAATATTGAAACTCAAGCTTTAGTGTGTATGAGAACTAATTATAGAGGTGAATATTTATTGCTCTCATTACTTGACAAGTTGACATTAGGCAAATAATGCTCGTTTATTCATTACTGATAGAACTAATTGAAACGTCTTCTCCTTTATCAACTGGGAAAAAATTGATCTTAGAAGGAAGAGGATCAGCAGTGCAGTGTTGTTCAACCATAGAAGGCAACCAGTCTATGAAGAATGTTGGATTGTCTATGTCAATAGTGAACAACGCATTGATGGGAGTGACAGTTATCTACGATCAAAGACGACAATGATGATCGAGCAATATGTAAGTTAATCATATGAGTAATTCTTGTTGTACACTTTTTTGTATACTTTTTGTACTCGCACGTATTTGTCTTTTTTAGACGAACCGCTGACCTGTGTACAGAGGCGAAATATACAAAAAAATGTACAAAAAACGTGTACACTAGGAGTTTTCCCAATCATATCGCTCTTAAAACAACTAATAGCAGGGTGGTAAAAGAACACTGGGTCGGATTGGGTCGGAACAAAAAATATTTTGGAAAAAAATCACACAATTTTTTTACCTTAATAAGGCATTTTAAAATTTTGGGTTGGGTCAGGGCCTAGGTTATCCCTCCCCTAGCTCCGCCCTGACTAATAGCATCATAATAATTAATTATATCAATAAACCAATATAATAATGATGCTTACATATCCATCTTGAAGAAAACTATAATCTGCGCCATCATTGTCCACTTGTTTTTCCCTAACCTGTTCTTAGCATATCATTTTAAAGTTATATAAAAACATATACAAAACAATGTAGAATTTTCAAGAGCAAGAAAATAACTAAATAAGTAGATCATTGAGAAGTTGTCTTACTTCTCTAGCGAATAAAAATTGGTCCTGCCCGGTGTGATCAACACTTGGTTGTGTGCTTTGTGATGGAGTAATGTCCATAGTCATAGTTGATAGCATTTTTGCTCCATGTCCTTCACTAGTAGCTTGCTTCCATCCCATTTTGATTAAACTTTTCCCTTGCTTAGTAAGCTTAAAACCCTAAAATAAACCGACAAAAACAATTTTCTAAACCTTGAACTTGAACATGCATAATAGCAACAAAATGACGATATAAAGTACTACCTCTGTCCCACTAAGATTGAGACAAGAGAATGTGGCACGACTATTAAGAAAAGTGGGTTTGTTTGGTTGATATTAAATTGATAAAATAAGAATAAAGTAAGAATGATTTAGAGCCACACAATCTTTACCAAATTTGATATAGGACAATTTTAGTGGGATTTCTCGAAAAGGTAAAATGGGATCATCTTAGCCGGACGGAGGGAGTACAATGTTATTCACTTGCAAATTATACATTGTAACTAATAATTCATCTTATATTTAAGACTTTTCCAACCGGATGTACTATATATTTCTATCAAAATGTTTCACATGGTCATCCCCTTTCCATTGTACTTTAATTTTTCAATAGGGAATGGAAATAGTGCATTGTGTTGGAAATGTCCTTAACATGATCAAAAGCTATAAGACTAATTCAACGAGTTTTCATTATAGGATAACTTAAGAATCAAATCTTTGTGAAGGTAGATGATTAATGTTACTCCATCCGTTCAATTAACTTCAAATCTTGCTAATTTTACCTCATCTACCCAAATTTTAACCACACAATACATTTTCATTTAATTATTCTATATGTCAGCCACAATGTTATAAGGGGCGATGAGAGTATAAATATAATATGTTATGTCCTTATTTAGAATATCGCATAAAATCCACTATTATTGGATACTTTAGCATGGCAGTCCACAATTTTACCTTGTGATTTTTAACATCTGTTGGCACGGTAACATTAAGAAAGCAATTTTGGGGATAAGCATTACTCTCTATATCAACCAGTATGGATAGTATAATGGGTAGACAAGCCTCAGCAGCTAGTGTGAAGTGATTGAAATTGCTTTTTCCACGAATCCTGTTAGCCATTAAAATATATAAACAATCTTATGCAAAAAAAAAAAAAACTAAATTTAAGACATATTTCACTCTTTCCCAACTCTTTCCAGGGGTGTATAAGTGTATTACATTGCTTAAATAAAAGCTGTCAAATTTCGCTTTAAAAATTTAAAACAAAGTTGTAAATCAAGTTGAAAACTTGAAATTGTGTTTTACACTGCTTTTGACTTTTTATTACACAAAAGTACTTTGACAACGTTTGATTTGTTAATGTATTAAAAATCACATTTTCAAACTTTGTCTTCAATTTGTCTTTGTTTGGAATTTTCAAAATAATTATAGAAATAATTACATAAATATGACCAAAATAAAGATGATTTACAAAAATATGACTAATGACTACAGTGAAGTGATTTAAAAAAAAACCCTTATAGAAATAATTACATAAATATGACCAAAATAAAGATGATTTACAAAAATATGACTAATGACTAGAGTAGTAATGAAATCATAGTAATTCATGTTCAAGTTTTGAGCTTAAGTTAGCACAACACCACATTGTAGTAATGAATAATCATATTTATGTAAATATGTTTTATTTTAGTAATATTCTTGTAAAAACCCTATTTTTTTTACAATATTTGTTAACAGTTCTTTAAACATAATATGAGTAATAGTCAAAGTCATGTATTGATAAACGTGAAAATGAAAACATTGAAACTAAACAAAATATAAATATCTGTGTAAAACGCATGCTCATACCACTAAGGGCATTGGCATGGGGATAAGAGAGATATGCTAGGCTTCACCCCTAGTTATACATGCATGCCATTGCATAATACATACCAGTCGTAGGATAAAGATATAGATGGAACACCATTCATGAATGCCTCTCTTGCACCCGCAACTGTTCCTGAGTAGACACTGCAGTTTGACATGATAAAACTAATAGATTCTGAGACAAAAATTCTAGTTATTCTTACAAATGGCAAGACATGCATGACTCTTTTAAACTACACATTGTCAATTACTATGGTGTAGTGATATGAAAAATTTCTTTTGTACACACTAGTGTAATCTTTCAATCCGATGAGGTAAGGGGGGTCAGACATACGCAATCTTACCTCAAAGCACATATATATTATTTTCGGGTGATACATGATGAAAATCGCATCAAAAATTTAATGGATCAACTATAGCTTCATAACAAAGAAACGCAGACAGTTTAAAGAGACATTTTTCTTTATTTCATCATATTCTCAACTTCAAAGTAAAAAATAGTGATTTTTGGGCTCCATTCGAAATGATGGAAATGATTTGAATAACTATATGTACAATAAAAGTTTGTGAATTTGGGTCACAACAACTCATGCCTATGTGAAAAAGTACATCTCAAAAATATATAACTTGATCTGACAGTTATTGTGCGCGAACAATGCATATTGGTTTGCAAACCTAGAGAGACACAAGCAACTCAAATCGATCATACAGAGACAACTATTCTGTGAATAACATTGATTTGTACACACACAAACAATTAGTGTCTATGTGAGAAAATTCTAATCTAGAACCCATAATTATTTAATTTATTCAAAACTGCTGCACACCATAGACATTATTTTCACATTTGGCCCATAAATCAATGCTTGAAGACACATATTAATTGTTTGGGACCACCATTAATTGTTTGTGTCCATTGATTATGTGTGTGAGCTCATATAGTGGAAGTCATTAATAGATGAAAGTAAAAGTTACTAACATGTGATAACCACAATTGCTGCCCATGTTAATACCACTTATCACCTGTAATAAAAAATGAGCATCATCATTCATCAACTTGGAATTGTATAATCTCTTAAAATAAACAAATAACCTAAGGTCCTCCTCATTAGTTGTAGAGTAAACGTCATCATGAGGTGTTTGGAAAATGGCGTTTCAGCAAAAAATTGACGATTTGGCAGTTTTTAATGTTTTTAATGAGTAAAAACACAGCTGTTCGAATGATAAAATAGTTGTTCGACTGGCCATAAAGTTTTTGAAAGAATCACTGAAATGAAAACGCTGCAAATACCAGCATTTTGGGTTAGCTTTTCAAATTATGACATTTTTTATTAATTCTTATGATATGGTCAGACAACTAAATTATTAAACCTGCTAGTCAACTTATTCCGGTAGTCAAATTAAATCTGATGATTGAATCCGCTATTGACAATCCTCTAAAACACGACTTATGTGATTAAAACATTGATCAACGTAATAAACTCGAATTTAAGCTTCTCTTAATTACCTTGAAAACTTTAATTATCTAGCTTAATGCTTCTACAGTTTTAGTGGCAGTTTCTTAATGATTCTTTCGTCACTAATAAACACGGCTTTCTCGATAACCATTCACTGCCTTCATTGAATTGTTCTTAATTGGGTTAATACTCCTTCCAAAGGTTAATTAAGATTAGCAAAAATGTGGATTCAGATGTGAACTTAGAATGTGTAATTGGAGATATCATGGCCGTCTAAATCCAATCGGACAGCTTGACCGTCTAATATGGTTTGGTCCGGTCTGAAATCCAATCTGCTAGATGTTTATTTTTTGTATATATTACAAATTTACAATCATTGAAGTCTGATCTGGTTTGATCCATTTGAACCTGATCTGATCAAGTCTATAACTAAAACTAATCCAATTAAAGTTTGAGTCGGACCTTTATTTGATGTTTCATCCTAATTTACTCCCTTTATAGAACATTTTAAGGGTTCTAACTTCTAAATAGACACTAAATTCTACGGTTCCAAAACGAAAAATATTACATAATTATGATAAAAATAAATTTACAAAAATGTAGCTAGTGACTAGAGCAGTAAGTAACTTATATTCATTTTATAATTTTAAGTTACCATGAAATTTTATAATCATAGTAACTTTTTGTCATATTTTTGTAGATACATTTTTGAAACCCCCTTCCAAAATCTATATTTTATGGCCTCTTCGTCCAATTAAAGGTCCGAAGGGCACGTACGGCACCCATACAACACAGCTAGCATTGCATTGCGTGATATAATATGATGATACAACATGCACACATGCATACCCACACACGCACAAAAGAGTTTTTTTCGCATGCCAATATAACTACGGAGTATACTCGTTCAAAATTAAACAGATAGCTTCTTATAACTTGTTTTTACAATAAAAAAAACTATAAGAAATTATACGAGGTATTATATATTGACCAAGAATTAAGTTTTGTTATCGGAATTTATGTTTTGTATGTGAGAATTTCTCAACCAGTAATCATATACATATATATATATATATATATATATATATATATATATATATATATATATATATATATATATACACACACACACACACACACTCAATTAATCTGTGTTAAGAAACTTTATCATCTTTTCAAAAAAAATTGAAGGTACATCTTTCAAGTTTTGGTCTAACAAAGTTAAACTTTGAAACATTAATTATATACTAGTATATTTATAAGAAATTATTTATAATACAAAATGTTACTCCTAAAATCTAAACTAAAATGATGGGTCAAAGTTTACAATCATTGACTTGACAAATCAAACATGACAAAGTTTCAAAGAAGGTGAAGGTAATATACACAACATGTTGAATTTTAAAGTATTCACATGTTATACTTTGACTGCATTTTATTTATTGATTTAATAGATATTTAGTTTTTGAAAAATAATATTAAATTCAGCTCAATTTTTATTTCCAAAATCTGAATTTTTAATTTTTTACCAATAAAGAAGAAATATATCAATGGTATAAGTTGTATGTTGATAAAACTACTAGGAGTAACAAAATTAGGGCTAGATTAGGTTCGGGTCCCGAATCGATTCGGTATATACCTGAACCGAACCGATAATTCGGTTTACCAAAGTATCAGAACCGAAACCGAACCGTACTACAAACGGGTACCGATTTTTGGTACCCGATTTTTTCGGTTCAGTTTACCGGAAACCGAAAGAACCCGACAAAAGAGTAATAAATAAGTTTGAACTAACATTCAATTGACTAAATAAAGCCCATTGTAACTTGCCAATATTTGAGCCCGATTAGCACAATGGAAGCCCAGAACGTAACTTAGCTTCCTAGAACATATCTTGGCATTCTACACTAAGGGGACCTTATTTATATTGAAGTTTTGGAGTAGGAAGCTTCTCATTTTCCGGTGTGGGACAAGATTAAAAAGAATAGGAAAAGAAGCTGAAAAAACAAATAAAATAACCCAACTGCGGGAATCGACCACGCGACGTAAGGGAGAGGACAAGCGCTGGATAATCAACTCGGCTACTCTTCAAGCACGTTCAAACCATACTCGGTGATGGATAGTGTACCCGGGGGGTTATTACGGGGAGTAATAAGAGAGAAGTCAGAGCAAGTAAATATAGAGAGAGAAAGTATATTGCAAAGTGTGGAGCGTTTTCAGCGTGTTATCACCTGGTTACAAATGGGGAAAAGGGGTGCTATTTATAGTAGCAATAAATGCCGGACAGGGACACTTGTCAAGCGTCCATTGGCTGAGAGGTCACCTCATCTGGTTGGCGCTGGCAACCGCATGTGGCCGCATTTAATGCGGCTGTAGGATGGGATGTTGTACAGGGCACGACGATCTGTACGCATGTGGCGCGAATATTATGTCGGGGAAGGGTGCCCTCGGCTGTAGAGGACTAACCGAGGGCTCTGAGTACGGGGGACCCCCTTGGTGCCGAGGGCTCCAGGTGCCGAGGGCTACTGTTTTTCACCGTTTTCCCCAGTAACTTTGTTTTGCTGCCTTGGCCCTCCTGTGAGAGTTAGAGCCTTCGGCCAGGGGGCCGAAGGCACCGCTGGTGCGCATTGTGGGCTGCTTGGTACTCTGGGCGCCGTGATTTGGGCCTGTTGGGTCTTCTGGGCCTGTTGGGCCTTTATCTGAGTAGTAGGAGTCTGTGGGCCGGGGGTTCCCGGGCCATATACTCCATCAGGAGTCCCTCACTCCTTTTGCCGAAAGGTACTTGAGGGAAAAGGAGTAATTGTGCTTGTCCTCTGCCGTTGTTTCGTTTGTAGTTTGTAGAGTTGTGGGTAGTTTGTTGTTTGTTTATTCTGCCGAGGGCAGTCCCTCAGTTACCCACATGTCGGGACTTGACGGGTCATGTTTGTGATTTTTGTGATTTTTCCCGAGGGGGTCCTCCAGTCCCCCACTCCTTGAGGCACTTGCAAAGTGGTGAAAAGGAGTAGAGTAGTTGCGTTGCTGTTGTGGGCCGAAGGCTGACGCTTTTCGTTTCATTTTGGGGGGATGCCTCGTTAAAAACCTCATTAGGAAAAACCCTGTGGGAAAAAATCCTAATGAGGGAAAAAGAGTGCACCGAATTCCCCCAACGATGAATCGAAAATGTGAAACCTTGGTCAAAATTGGAGAATAACGGTAATGCCGAAGGCTCTCTTTGTTCTGAGGGCTCATGTGTTGAGTAGCCGGAGGCTTGTTGTTGATGTCCTGGGAGGTGCCGAAGGGGAGCCCCTCAATCTGGGGATCGAGGGCGTGATGGATGAGGGCAGTAGTTGAATTGTTACCGAGGTGTCCCCTGTTTGTTGATTAGTTGGTGATGAAGATATCCGAGAGGTCCCATTACCTGCGTGCCGTAGGCTATCCGCCAATGAGGTGTACTCCCCAGGGGCTACCTGGTCCTCAAAGTGCTGAGGGGGGATCCTCGAGGGGTGCCTGATATGAAGCCTTGGGCTTCTGAAGGTGTGATCCCGAAGGCGTAGGTTATGTACTGTATGGGGCACAACCCGGGAGCGTCTCCGGGTAAGTGTACCCGGAGGCTCCCCTTGACGAAGTGGAGTGAAGTAAAAAAAACTCGGGGGCTCCCGGAATATAGCCGTTGGAAATATAGCCGTTGGGATATGTAACGTCAGGATATAGCCGTTGGAATATGTAACGTCCGGATATAGCCGTTGGAGGGGGGTTGCCACGTGGTGCGTGCTCGTTGGCCGCCCGTGGGCGGGCGTCACCGATTGGGCGATACCGCGGTCTGTAATGATGGCAATCCAACCGGAGGCCCGGTTACCAGGCCCAAGCCCGGATTCCAGCGCCTATAAATACCCCAAGGCCGGACACTCCTCCTTGTGTGAAACCTTGTTAGCGAAGCTCTACCGAATTTTTCCTAGAGAGAGAAACAGCAGCCCTCGATCAAATTCTTATTCCCAGGTCAGTTCTCCACTCGCACTTCACCTCTTTAGTTAGCTGTCTTGTGCCCTTAGGCTAGGAGATAGAGTTTTTAGAAAACACTAGCGTCTACGAGCCTTCGAACCAGAGCCAAAATGTCGTCCCAGAGTGACTCCCAGGACATTTCGGGGGCGCCCTCGGTGGGGGATGAAGTTTTTTCGGACGTGGAGTCCTCAAGTGCACAATCTTCGGTGGGACAGGATGCCACCGTCGCCCTAGAGCTGCAGAAAGCCCTCGTTGCTGAGGCGGAAGCCGAGGGCTTCGAGCAAGAATGTGAGGATGAAGAGCTGGCCCTAGCCTGGCAAGCAGCTGAAGAAGAGGCACAAAGAGAAAGCGCGAGGGTCACCGTTGTTGTGCTCCCCCCTCGGGGTGCCGGTGAGGCCAGCACCTCTCGGCCGCTGAACGCGGTTCCCATCCGGGTGGCCCCCGGAAAGAAGAAGGCCAAGGTAGCTGCTCCCAAGAAGAAGGACAGTGTTGCAGATCAAGGGAAGCCCCTCGATATGCCCGAGGGGTATTCCTACCTGAACACCGCCGCCTTGGAAATAAGGTCGAAGGTTGATGCGGCGGACATCT